CTTTGTCCCAGAGGTGGCTCGTGTGCTGTGGAACCAGCTGAACCAGGAGACCCGGGAGCACCACGTCACCTGCGTGGAGCTGTTCTACCGGCTGCACTGCCTGGCTCCGACGGCCAGCATCTGCGAGGACATCATCTGCCACGCCCTCCTGGACCCCGACAAGGCGAGTCTGTAGCCCCAGCCTCCATCCTGCGAGGGTCCCACTGCTGGGCAGCCTGTCACTCACGGGCCCAGGGCAGACTGCATGGATCCAGCGGGGGTCATTCTGGGGCCGGTGGACCTACTGGTTAGTGAGCAGAAGTTTTAGGGATGTCGGGACTAGAAGGCCTCCCGCCGCACGAGCTCTCGCCTTTGGAGTCCCCAAAACATGGTTGTATCCACCTCAGGGCTCCCCAGGGAAATCTGCCCAGACTGCCTTGGTGTTTGCGGACATGTAGGTGCCTGTGGGCCTGTAGGTGCCTGCGCTGCTGGAAGTGCTGGCACAGGAGGCCGTCGAGAGGAGGCGTCGGCCCCGCAGCCCTGGCTGTCCTCGCAGTGCAGTGGTGTCCTGTGCTCTGAGCCATGGGCCTGTCACTTCCCAGGGAAGGGCATGAGCCCCACTCTCCTGTTTCCCTGCCACCACAGCCTCCCTGTGGCCCTGGGCAGAGGCGAGTGCTGCATTGGACTGTGTGCTTTACTGACAGCGCGTCCTGTTACAGGGAGCGAGGGGTGGGGCAGGGCGGGCTCCAGGCAGGGACTTCCTGCCCCTGCAGCACTGCCGTCCTGCTCCTGAGCTGTCCTTTGCTTCTCAATTGGGTTTCATGCGACTAAGAACAGTGTCCTGCTAGGAAACCAGGCTCCTCATGCCCGTTTATTTCCTAATCAAGGGAACCAGATTGGAGGCTCTGTTCAGATTTTCCGTCCTCTGGCACCTGACGCGGGAGATCCAGGGCAGCCGAGTGACGTCGCACAACCGCTCCTTCGACAGGTGACGCTGTCTTCCTTATCATTGACCACAGGCAGAAGGCACTTTGCAGGGTTCCCGGTCAGCGTGCTGGGCTGGGGAAGGGAGATGCGTGACTCGGACCACCGGACCTCACATTCCTGATGCACAGCAGCCGCTCTCAGGATCCCCTAAGTGGCCTCAGGCTGGACACACGTGAATAGATACGTGGTGGGGATTTCCCAGCTGTGGTTGAGGAGGAAGGAGACTCCGGTGCCTCGAGTCACTGGGGGGGGCTGTCAGAGCGTGCCCCATGGGGAGGCTGGTGGGGGGAGTAGGGAAATGGAGAAGGTCTAGTTCTCGATTGGAGTGGTGGCCACACTGGGTGTATATACTTGTAAAGTCATCAACTGGCTTAAGATGTGAATTGATTGCAGGTACATTATAATCCACATTGTTTTCTAAAAACCCCTCCCTTGTTTCCAACACTCTAGGTGTGGGGTCAGATACAGCCTTACTGGCAGCTCATTGCACTGCCTGGGCCCATCCC